TTTTGCCGTCGACCGCGGCCACGATAAGGCGCGCCACGCAGCCGGTGCTCCCTTCGAGGATGATACCGCCGGAGGACGATGCCGCCGAGCGCGTCGCAGCAGGTTCGCGGCTCGTCTCCCCCCCCCCCCCGGCCGACGACCGAGAAGCTTTCCGCGGGGGATGCTCCTTTTATATTTAATAACTTGATGCTCTTCTTCACTCGCTCGTATTCCTTCTCTTCCTCTTCTTATCTGCCGCGATTTTTCTCGTTTTCCCGAATCACAAAATAATTTCGTTAAAAAGCGCACGGCGGCGAAGGAACGATGAAGGAGGAACGACTGCCCTACGAGGCGACTGTATACGTCTCTCCTCGCACGTCCTCACACCCCCTTACACCCCCCTTACACCCCCTCTCTCGTTTAATCCTTTTCTCTTTCCCTCGCACACCAGATACCCCGGGCGTCTTTCTTTCACCCTCGACGATATCGTGGCGCACGCGCCAGGTGTGTCCTTTCTCTCTGCCCTCCGCGTGCGCGCGCTCGCTTCTCTTCGTTCTCTCTCTCTCTCTCTCTGTCCGCCCTCTCCTCTGTCTTCTCTCTTCTCTTTCCCTGCTTCTTCACTCTCTCGCGCGCGCGCGCGATCTATTTCGTATTCGTTGCGCCTCCTGCGCGTCCCGCTGAGCTCGCTCGCTACGTTCGCGTTTGTTCGGCCGCTGCATCAACGCGTCCGGACATGGAGGACGAAACTCTCGCAGGCTCGCGAGCTCGCACGCTCATCCCGGTTCAGCTGTCGTCGTCACTGTCGAAACGTCTGCGCACTCGAGCGTCGTTGACGCGAGTTATGACAAGAGGAAGTACACTACGGGAAGTACAAGGGGAAAAAGGAACATCCGGAGATGACTCTTCTCCATCCTCCTCCCTTCCCCTCTCTCTCGTTACGAAAGGAATCCCACGCGAGCCCATGCTCGAATTACGACGAATTGACCTATTTGTCTCAAAGGGATGGGTTGTGCTCCCTTCGGTTAGAAGGCGAACCTACCTTCCGCGAGAAGCATCCGGAATTGTAAGCCGGATAAGGGCGCAATGTCGTAGAGTGCGATCTCGAAGCCGCTCTCCGCAATTTCCCTTCCTTTTGTATGCAAGCGACGGCGCTCGGTCGCTTGAGGGTAGAGGGATCGAGGGTCGGAAAATCTTGGAGAGCATATCCCTCTCTCTTCTCTCTCTCTCTCTCTCTCTCTCTCTCCTGCCTTCACCCTTCGTTCCTTCCTCGTCATCGGATTCGCGTTTCTTTTCTTCTCAGGACTTGCCGCGCGTAACCAGAGCGCGCTATTATATCGGGCGTTCGGTCGGTCGATCCCGGGGTTGTTCCCGCTTTCCGGAGAAGTATGCCAGGAATTTATAGAATCCATCGGAGATATCGGCAAACTGATCTCTGGTCCCGTCTGGATATTTTTTGAAACCACCACAAACGCAGATGTACGAATTTTGGCTATTTAAATTATAATTATCGCGCTGCAGAAATTGTATTAATCAGCATAGCTTTATTAATAATGGTTCTATGTATTAACATGTTATATTGTACAATTGTATCTGTATGGCCAGTGTATATATATATATATATATATATATATGAAAGAAAACATTAAGATGTACGTAAATGTACATTATATAATATTACTGTAAAATGAATATATATTTGACAATATATCGATAAGCCAGCATAAATGATAAAGTTCGTTTTTAATAAATTTCTAATACAATCGCCGGAATCTAATTTTTGTTTCTGTAAATTTTGTACCGCTTCCAGAATAAGACTCTTATATTTAATTTCACGTTCCAAGAATATCACTGGGAATCTCATTGAAGCGCTTCTATTTCTGTAAATTTCCTTGCATCTTCCCGATCAAGAGGAGCCTCCTACTTGGCGGAAGCGTAGGTGGCATTGCCTAGGATTAATCCTGTCATCGACATTGGGTCCGCGAAACTTTACGGCGGCGACTTCCGGCTTCGCCGTGAGTGTATCGATAGACACATCGGGGCAAAATTACGCTCGGGGATCCTCTGGCGTTGGCATTTCGAGGTCATTGGGCGCCCCCGCTAGGATCTCTGGCGCGCGGATACACCGAAAAGCCCCTGACTGGTCGACTCTACGCAGAGGCGCTTATCGATTTTCAAAGCGACGTTGCCCCCCCCCCCCCCCCGCAAACGCCGCTCTCCGGCAGATCGTCGTCGTCGTCGTCAACAATGTTCTTCATGGTCTTATTGTTGTATGAGAAATGGAAGGGCCTTTGGACAATCGTACCGAATCAATGAGACGCACATTCGAACGTTATGATGCACTTTTGCGATTGCATTTGATTGTACGCTTGTTTTATTAGATTCGCTATGAGACTTGTGTCCAAGTCTCGCATCGACACAACGGCGACGGAGGCGGCTGTGATGAATGACGACGATTATGGGTTACCGATATTGCAGACTTTGCTCGTTGCGCGCGAACCGGGATGCTCATGGATATGCAAAAATGTAAAAAAAAAAACGCTTCTCCAAACAACGTCGGCGAGGCTGTTTAACCGGCGGTCGTGTCATCCTGGTATGAGTAAACTAGTTTTCCCCTTTCGGGAACTCGTTCAAGAGACGCCATCAGATTCGAAAGCCTATGGTCATCGGACAAATTCAGGGCGGTGTTTTTTGGTCGATGTCTGATAGTCTAACGGCGAGAGGTGGTGTAAAAAAGGAGACTGCGCAGGAAAGGTGTGTCGAGAAAAAAAAATTTATAAAACTATTACAAAGCGGAAATGAATGTTGGAACAGAAAAAAATTATGCGAGCGTTTTGGTGTGTGTGTGTGTGTGTGTGTGTGTGTGTGTGTGTGTGTGTGTGTGTGGTGGTGGGGTAGGGGTAGGGGGTAAG